TCGCGCATGTCCTTACTTGGACTTGCACCGAGCACTTGTCTGAGTACCGAATACACGAGGATTTCATCCCCTTCAAAGATGCAGGCAAGCAAGTAAGGAATGACAGGGAAACTAGAACCATATGTTTTGAGGGCTATCTGTACAGACCCTACATATGTACATATGTACATCTATATCTACGTGCGCGGTCTGTGATATGATCATGCACATGTACATGTACGAGGTACGAGGTTCATATGAAGGTATATGTTCAGTGCCTAATGTACATAGTATACGTAGGCTACCTATCTAGCTGTATGTAGACTGCTTTCACGGGTAATCTTTTTCTCGTCTGTAATTCCCGACCGAGGACGAGGAGAACATAGAACCAGGCAAGGCGTGTCATGACTTGGATTCTTGGATTTCGATGTGTATGAGAGAGAGGGAGACAGAGAGAGAGAGTCAGTCAGGACTTTACACCGATACAGCAGATCAGGTCGAGGCTAAGGAATGAAAAACATTAGAATAGAATAGAACAGAATAAAAGTTCGTAATTGGGTGTAAAGGAATTAATTCATCCTGGTCCAGTCGTGTCAATCTCGTGCCAGCACAGAGGCATTCCAGTCCTTGCATCTCTCGTGATGGCTTTGTGGCGAACGAGCAAATGGAAACCCTCGTCATCTTCATGCTTCTGATCCGAACAGATTCACTTTTCTCCGGGGCCATGCGCATACGATACTATCCATCTACTCATCTTGCCACAGAAAAGCCCTCTGTCGTCAGCCCGTCAATTCAAACCTTCTCGCCTGGAATCACATTTTCGTCCTCGCTAGAGTCTCCGCGGACAGGAATCTGGTGGCTCAAATCCGTGTGGGTGACCTCTGCCATGTCCTCATCGTGCTCCACATTCAGACTCCTCCCTCTCCTCTCGGGCCCAACAAAGGTGAGCAAAATGGTATAGGCGTATACCGCGCCCATAAAGATACAGATGACTTTGCCGTAGTTGTATCTTTTCACGGCTTTTCCCTCCTTGTTGATCAGAGGTTCAAGAGGATACCGTTCACCAATGGTGGACTCGATCGTAGAAGATGCCGACGAAGCTAGGTTGCCTAGTTGGTACGAGGTACCCACAACGAACGTCCGCAAGGAGCCAGGAGAAAGCTCCATAAGGTGAATGGGAATGACGCCCCATGCACCCTGTACACAGAATTGCTCAAAGAATGCCGCCGCAATGACAGCCTTGGAAGTGACAAAGGTGTAGGGGTACAGCAGTGCTCCGCCGACGATGGAAATAAAGATAATGCTGAATCGACGACCAAAGATCTGCGAACAATATCCGATGGTGGTGCCACCTGTCATGGCGCCCAAGTTGGCTACAACCTGTGTAACGGTGACGGCGTCGGCGGAGAATTTGAACTGGTTCGTCAACATGGTTGGGTACAAGTCCTGGGCTAATTGTTTGGTCAGTAACCTTAAGCCGAAGCAGCGTGACTGGTAGAAAGCTTCTAGGACACAACTTACAGCCGTGGCTCATAAAGTTAAATCCCGCCATCAAAAGCACCATGTAGATGAGCAGTAGCCAGTGTTTCTTGAGCGCAACTCGTCCTTCGGAAATGAAAGTACCAGCCAAGCTACCCTGCTGCGCACGAAGAGCCTGGCGAGCGCGGAAAGTATTGGTCTCGGGGAGACAAAGACGGAACAGAATGATCAGCACTGGAGGGCACGCGCCGAACCAGAACAGCGGTCTCCAGCCGTGCGAGGTGGTATTGACCAAAGCACGAGCAAATGCAGTGGCAAGCAGATATCCAAATGCGTAACCTTGCTGCAGCATCCCAGAAATGATGCCACGCGCCTCTTCGGGGCAATCCTCAAGTGCGGTGGCTGCCGCGTTGCCATACAAACCACCCATGGCAATGCCAAAGAGCGCACGCACGGCGAGGAATTGACCGTAGGTTTGAGTGAAGCCGGTGCCAAGCTCAAGGGCGATGAAGAGGATATTGTTGATGATGAAGGGCCTGGCGATTCTATGTCAGCAAAAAAGTTCAATGGACGGACGCATAGAGGGGTTGCCATACCACTTCCGCCCATATCTATCAGCAGCAATACCGAAGATGGTTGATCCCACTGAACGGAACATGAGCACCAACGTGATGCCCCAAGTTATGTCAGTGTTGGACTTGTTGAATGTTTCGGCCAGATCAGACACAGTGAGCGAGACGGTGAAGAAGTCAAAGGCATCCCACGACCAGCCAAAGAAGGCCACAAGGAAGAAAAGCCATTGTTGGGTGTTCAGCATGGCCAGAAGCTTGAAAGGGTTGGGCGCCTTTGCCATAGGAGGCTTGAGGGTACTGAGTCTTGTCGCGGCATATTTGCCTGGAGACATGTGCGCGTTGTCGATCTCGTACTCATCGCTGTAGTGACGGGCAGCGGGTACAGTCTCCTTGGTAGGAGACTCGATGTGAGCCATATTGACTGTCGCAGCTCTTGCCTGGTTGCTGGATCACACTTCTACTGAGTCTTGTGTAGCCTCACGCGCTATAGTGGACAGGCCAGACTTGGGGGAGGAAAGACACAACGCATTGACAGCAGGCGACCAACCTTTTATCTTCCTTTTCCCCCACAAGGACAAATGGGCGGGTGGTCATGAGGCCCCTGCAAGGGATGCTGGTTCGACCTGGTCCCATTTTTCACCTCGCAGCTCGTGGTCGCACGCGAGCAGGGAACGGTGACTGATCGGCACAGACCCGACCTTTGGAGAGATAGGTGGTGTGGTTACACGGCACACGGACTTGAGGGATTGCATTTCTGTGGTTGGTGGAATACTGGCGCAGATCCTTGGTGGAGAAAAGACCCAGGATCGCAGGCTCGTCTCAACGGGCACGCTGGCCGTCGAAATTGCGGGGGATCTGAAGGAGCAACGAATGAGACGAGGCTGAGAGACGAGGTTTGCTGCGCTAGAGTGTCAATCACAGATGGGACAGCGTGACATCGGCCGGCCTTCGACCGGCGCAAGTCGGGGATGGATATGAGCATGGGAGGTAGAAAGTAGGACGGACGGAAGTCACCAACGTATCTCTTTCGGTGTATGTAATCATGACGCTGCCAATGACAATATGACCACTGTTCTCCATTCTGGCTTCTGGATGGCCTCGACGAGGATAGATCGGGACGCAGACACGAGAGAGGGATGGAAGAGTTCGGATCGTGTTCTCTGGACATTCCATGGGATTACTCTTTTGGGTGTTTGTGAGGGTTCCGAATGATACTCTGTGGCATTTCTGAGTGCAACATCTCTTCTGATGTCTTTTCGTGGAATGTCTGAGGGATCTCATGTGCTTCAGACAAAGTGGTGAGCTGACTTCAGGGTGCAACTTGGCATACGTTGGTGGCGGATTCAACGGGCGACAAGTGTCATAGCCAAGCCGTGTAGCACAGCTGGTCAAGGCCCTTGTTGTTGGGGGCGTTTTGCTTGGGGTTGCTTAGAGTTGCTTGGACAGTTAGGCAGGTCTAGGCAGGTCTAGGCATTAGGTGGGGGAACCTCCTCCCTAGGTACACCTATAAGCTTGCCTCACCTCCCCCCTTTGCCCCTACGAGTACCAACCAGGTAAATCCTCCCACCCCCAGATGCCAGAAAATGCCCCGACAGGCTCCGCATTGAACCATTCCGTCTATCCAGATCCGTCCTCCTCGCTCTCACTTTTACCCGACCATCTCAACCTCTATCTGACCACTTTGTAAACTCGAGCCCACCATTTCGTTTATAGTCCAAACACCGAAACATTTCCTGTAAACAGGTGCTCCCTCTCATGATAGTCCTCCCCTCGCTTACCGCCGTCGCCACCATCTGCCTTCTGTTGCTCCCGCTATCGCTTCTTCGTCTCGGCAGACAAATCCACTTTCTCCAGATGATCCAACCCTCGACCTTCGCGGCAACGTCAGGATAAACTTGGTTCCGGATCTTTTCTCGCAGGCTGCTCATGCTCGCCAGGCTCTTATGGATTTCCTCAGCCAGCATTCTCGCCAGAAAATGGAGTTTGCTCGGCGTTGAGCCTCGATAGGTGCACACAGCTGGATGGGAAAAAAGCTCTTGTTTGCCGCATCAGCCACTCATAGGTGAGTACTGCGGTTCCGATATACTCCCTCTCCCCGACATTGTAGGCGCATACCGCCAGTCTAGTCACCAGAAGCTCAGTGTCGGCCTTGAGCAAAGTCCCCCCTCGAGTCGACCATCTTGTTCCACTATCCAACAGATGTTGATGAGGTACATCTGGAGACAATCACGATTCTTGTGCGGCCAGCAAACGGCTTCGTCTAGGTCGAGCTTGACGCGGATTCGAAAATGATGGTGTTACTATTTTTGGTGTTACAAGGTTCTGCAGAGCCACTGTCTGAGAAATTGAGAATCCATGGTTCTTCGCATGAACAACATTTTCCTCTCTCCTTGGCGTATAGAGGCTGCCACACAACCAGACAAACAAGCTCTCCTTGTATTTGATGTGTGCGGAAATCCCCCTATCCTGACGAACAAACTTCTATACGTCCTTTGGTTTGGGTGGAGTATAGATAGGCTTCTCCTGTGAGCGTAAGGAACAGGACAGGTGCTGCCACAAGGGCTCGACGTGGCAAGACGACACGATGCTGTCGATGGCTGTTCCACAGGTTATTCGCGGATCCATTCTTGGATCCTGAGGAAATGGCTGGCTCACCAACAGAACATCAGCCTTGACACCCGCTTGGGGAGAAGCGTGACTCTGCTGAAGTATTCTGTAAGAGAAATCTTATGGATGGGCGATCTCTCGAAGAAAAAGCAGGGCTCCTCGAGCAAAGGACCGTTATATGGTAAGTCGCACGCTGTTTCTTCTGTTCTGCGCATTTCTTTCCCTCCAGTCTCTCGTTGATCATATCCCCACCTCCCCCCCGTGCTTTCTTGACCCGATCCTCGACCCGATCCTCAAGTCTCATCTGCAAAACGGCAGCAACCGCGCCCGGCATTCAGACACTTCATTTTATTCCAACCAGTCATGGCTTCTTCTTCTTCATCAGCGTCCTCTCCCATCCCACAGATCTGGCGAAGCATCTCCTCGTCAGGAAACCTCCGGCGCAAACGAGGTACTGCCTCTTGTACGGTCACAGGCACCAGCACCAGCACCAGCACCAACACCAACACGTTGTCGAACGCTGCTGGAGAGGACGCCGCCGCCGCCGCCGCCTTCAATAGAAACAGAAACGGGATCATGGGACCTTCTCCCATCCCGTTGGCCGTCCTGGGTGGCTCACCCATCAACGGGCGAATGTCCCGCTTCAGCGAGGACCTCGGGGAAGACGCGGCCGGCCCCAACAGCAGCAGCAGGAGTAGACCCGGGATCACTATCGTCGAGAACCCGGCCCCAAGACCAACTGAGCGACAACCTCCCTCGCGGGCACCGAGCCCATATATCGCCAGGCCGCCAATTGCCATGGGCGGCACGTCGGGGGAGGCAGAAGACGCCGGCAGTTGGAGCACGCCGGACCAGGACCGGGATCAGGAGTGGGAACAGGCACGTTTAGACGCCTCCCAGGGCGGGAGCGGCTGGGCAAAGGCGTTTGACGGCCTCCGGCGCGAATGCGAGCGGGCGTTCGCAGGCCTGTTTGACCGGCTTCGACCGGCTCAACGACATCGCCGTCGATTTCTTGGTCGTCGCGTGGACCGCTGTGGACTACGGCTGCACCACCAACAACACGACCCCCAGACATGAGGACGCCCGGGAGGAAACACCTCATGATGGTGCTGGTGCTGGTGCTGGTGGAAATGGGTACTCCGGAGCCCGCCCGTCACATCGTCACAGGTCATGGGGGCAGCTGAGTTGAAAAAGGCTAAAAAGCGTCTTCGCCTTCGGAGACCATTCCGCGCGGTGGTCAAGGCATACACCTGGCCTACATAGGTGCGTCCGGCTGTGTCTGTGCCTTGGAGAGGGTGTCTCTGGGGGTAGTTCCATCGACCCGAATGTGGTCTTGTGTTTGTGAGGCGCGTGGCTGAGCAAGCGAGCCAGCGAGCCAGCGATCGAGGGTAATCTCTTGTTTTGTGTACATGTACTCGATACTAGGTACATATCTGTACAGTTGTTCCATATGAACTTTCTTTCCCGGCTGGTAGAGCTCATCTTTGTGTGCAGATGTATATATTTTCGCCGTGCTCGCGATTATGCCCCAGCCCTCTTAAGCCAGGAAGAGAGCAACGAGACAGCGGCCAACGACGGCGTTCGTGACTCCGGGGTCACCGCCGTTGCGATTGAGACGCCTACAGCGAACGTGGTCGAGACCGGCGGCCTCGAGGGGGTCAGAGACACCTTTCGCGGATGTTTCAGCTGCTTTCCTTGGTAGTGCATCCTCATGGTTGAGTCAGGGGCTATCGTTGGATGGACCAAGGACAGTATACTCGGTACTTCCAAGGGAATATGGAGTGGCATCGAACGTGGACAAGTACAGGGCATTGGCATACAGGGGTAAATGGTGCCGTCTGTTGTACAAAATAAATCTCTCTGAATCTGAATCTTGAGTTCGAGTCTGAGTCTGGTGGTTTAGCCGTTCAGCTGTTCCGAATTTTTTGCGTTTCACTGTCCCAAATTTTCGCAACTCTCGAGGTTCTATCCAGCCAGAGATTCTTCATCCCATTTTCCTGTCCTACTCCTCTACCCCCTTCATGCCCGGCCTAGCGTGACCTGACTGTCGATGCTGGTTTTGAACGAATTACCCAGCACGTCCCGGAAAGGCGGGCCAGGGAGAATTCCCCCTTCTTTCTTTCCAGATCTGTCCCATCCATTCTCTCTGTGAGCAGTGAGCGCCCTTTCCTTAAGCGTGTTGATTCCATTGCCGATGACTAAAGTCCGTTGAACTCGTCCGTTCGCTCGTGTACAAGTACATAGGTGGAAATGTGTTCTTTAACATCAAACTCCACCTGCATTGTATGTGCACAGTTGTCAAAAGAAATGAAAGAGAGGCTGTAGACTGATCCGCGGGGGTTTGGAGCGAGAGTTCTGACGAAGCCGTCCGCGGATCGTGTGGATGCCTCGATAGTGCATTTGGTCTTGCGTTCCCTCTTGACTTTATCTGGTCTGGATCTCGAGTGTTTCGGTCTGTCCTGGCCTGGTTGTGCTGTGCTGCGCTGTGCTGTGCCTTGCCCTCCTCGTTCGTCATGTCTGCTCATATGTGTAGGAGTACGAGTAGTCCGGTCGCCTCGTTCTCGGCTCCTTCTTCTTGGCCCTGCACTCTCCATTGATGTCATTCTCTTGGCTCAGAGATATTGCGCAATATCTTTGTTGGAGCAATGCTCCCATTTGCTATCCGTTCAAACTTCAGAGAGTGGCGTGCGCAAAGCTGAAGTGGTCCGCTGCCCCAAAGGAACATTTCCCGATAAAAGAAGGGGGAAAGTCGTCGAGGATTACACCACAACCCCAGCGATCTCGCTTTTTCTTCCCTGCCAGGAATGGGGCCCCTCAACCCGGATTGGACTGTCGCATAGAACGAAATTCAAGAGTGAGCCTCCGGGACGAATCGCAGTCGAATGGGCGAATTCATTCTTTGGCGGTCGTAGGTGCGAGCCGGGTCTTTTCCAAGGCCGGCTGAATCAACGCAGCAATCCACTCATACGTGGTGAAGAGGATGCCGCCAGCCAACACGGTCCTCCCCAGCCGCATGGTGCTGCCCCTCCAGAGGCCACGGAAGCCGTAGTCGGCAATGACGCCGTTCCAGGCCTCCAGCACCCCCTCGCCCCGGACGGACTGGGCGCGGGTCTTGAGCGTGTCGAATGGCTGTGTGGCGAAGACGACAATCGTGCCGGCCACGGCGCCGTTGGCAAACGTGGTGGCGGTGGTCTGGGGGATGTTGCGCAGCCGCTCAAAGTCCTTGAGGATGTTGTACGTGCCCAGCCGCACCGCCGTGGTGCTGGCCTGCTTCAGCGTCGTCGTGACGTAGCCGCGATACAGGGCCCTGAGGACGCCGTGTTCCTTGATGAGCGTCGCTGTGGCGTGGACGGGGCCACGAAACTTGCGCTCCGAGCGCGCGTCGTCGATCAGCGCCGTCTTGATCCGCTCCGTCGGCGTCACGGCAAAGGTGCTCGCGACGACCCCGGCGCTGATCCCGGCCATCAGGTTCCTCAGCGGTGACAGCGTGCCGGTCTCCGGGTCCTTGAACTGTGCCTTGATGGTGTCGAACGAGATGAACCGGATCGCATCCTTGGCCACCGTCCCCGCCACGAGGGTCGAGCACCCTTTGTACAGTGAGCGCGGGCCCTCCTGCTCAATGACATGTTTGATAACGACAAACGGGTTTCGAGTCGGCGTCTGTTCGTGCAGCTGCACGCGCGTCTTTGCGAATTCGAATGCTGGATATTTGCGCACCCGTCAGACCTTTTTCCCCATTGTAACTTGCCCTGGTCCGTCGACCTTTGAGTCTACTACCCCTCTACATCCCCCAGGGAGCAGAGAAATTGTCCTTCCCCCTGTTCGAAACCGCAAACGCGAGAGAAAAACTTACGATAAGTGATTGTCGCTTCAACTCCACCCGCCGTACCTCCTGCAATCAATGAAACGAGCGGAGATTTGTTCGACCCCTACATGCCCAGTACAGAACGACAACACTTGACAGTTAGAGAGTGCGCTTCGAAGGGTCCAGAACGAGGAATCCGAGAACACGTACATCGTCGGCCACCATTTTGCTTGGTAACTTTTTTGCTGGTGACAAGAATCTAATTATTCCGCAGAACCAAGAAGGAAATCTCCAAGAGAAAGTCCACAAACGGAAAAGACACTATTATGATGGCAAGGACACCAGACAGTCTATATGTCGCAAGAGGAAAAAAAGAGCGTGCACGTCAGGATACGTTGTGATGTATAGATCCTTTCCTTTGCGTCGGAGGATTTTTCCAAGTAATATCAAATAAGTAAAAATGAAAGGGGGGAAATACAAGATCCGGTGTCGGTTGAATCGCCGTGTGTCGCTTGCCAGCCTCGGGTCTTTTCGGCTGAAGTTCGCTCGATGCAGAGACGTGGCGCGTGTTTATCGCGTTTTCACAGCCTTGCGCTTCAAAAGGAAATAAACTCAGCCTCGCCAATTACCAACACAACGACAGGAAGCATACTCGGTCGGTACCTTGTTCTACGAACAATAAATAAATCCATTGTCTTGCAAAAAAGAAAAAACAGCTCGGTACACCCTTCCGGGTATCGCATCTCTTGTTGATAACACATTCGACGAATGCCGATCCCCTGAGTCCTCTGTCTTTCCTTTCTTTTCCTGTAAAGGGCAAGCCGGCCCCTCCAGACTGATTTATGTAGTACATGCACCACATTGGGAACGAGAACGCCATGCCCAGAACCCCCATGATCCCTCACAGCTGATAAGCCCAATGCATTCTTCGCCCAGAGGCTCCAGGTTGTCCCCCGGCCACGGACATCCACGGTCATGGCATAAGCTGTGGTTTGCACCACCCTCAACCTTCTGATAAAGGGAAAAAAAAAAAAAAACCTGAAAATCATTGGCCCGTATTTGTGCAGAACATATCCCTCGCGTCATACCCAGACATTGCTGCACACCGCTCTTCAGATCCTTTCCTTTAGAGCTCCATCGTCCTTGTGTTAGCTGAATCCGTAGGAAAACTGAGAACACCTTCAGCTCTGTCGCCTTCTGCTTGGAAGCCAAATTTCTGGCCTGAGTTAGTGCTGACCGCTTCTTGCATCATGCGCATCCCCTCTTGAGGATCCTTCAGGCTGGCTTGACGGAACGTGTTCTCCATCTCCTTCATTCTCTTCTTGAACGACAGTCGATCCAAGAAGAGTTGTTGTCTGCCCTTTTCAAGGTCGCGGCGTTCGGCTTGTACAATTTCTTCCATCTCTGCGAATTGTGCCATTTTCAGCTCAAACTTCTGGAGTGTCAGGTTAACGGCTGCCGATACCATCCTCGTGATTTCTCTCTCCTCGTGGGAGGCGAGACCGCTGGCACGTGCAGCTGTTGTGGCCAGTGCTGTGGTGGCGATGTCATTGATGACTTTCGATGACCCATTGACTTCAGTACCTGGCTGTTCGATCGATGGGGCAGACTCGTCGACTTCCATCTGGTCTTCTGATTTTACTTGCCCCTTATCCGCGTCTCCCGATGTGGTTTGCTCGGTTCCTCCCATGCCCTTTTCGAGTTGTGCCCGCAGTTGTTTCTGCATGACCGCAATAGAACGGTTCGAGGCCGCGGCGACCACGTCAGGGTCCGCCATTTGAGCAAGGAAACTGACTACTGACATCACAGGATTGTCCAGTTCGCTAATGGCGGTCCTTCCTGTCAACGCCTTCAGAGCAGACGAACCGTTCAATGGTCCCTCTTCGAGGTACTGATCCTGAATGTCGAGTTGCAAGAACTTGAGTACACACTCTTCCCTAGTTCGTGTACCAACATGTTTGGAAATCTCGTTCCAGTCATTGTCGAAATTCTCCAGACCTTCCAAGAGCAATAGAGTTTCTGAGTCGGTCCAAGCGGCACTTTTGTCGGGGATATGTGAATACGCTGGTTCTTCCATCTTGACAAAGTCGGACGAGCGATGGTTCGCCGGCATCCGAGACTGGAAATAGCAGTTCGGGCAGAGGTCGTACTTAAGCTCGTTGGAGTTCGTGGCGCCTGAAACGGGATCTGACTTGGCATAGTGAAAGCGACATCGCGTACAATCGATCCCGCACGAAAAGCAGTTGAAGCTTTTGATGGGCTCTCTGGCAGCTGCATCCATGGCCTTGGTTGCAGCGGCGCCTGAACTGGAGCCGTTCGCAGTCACCCCTTCGCCGTTTGTTTGCTTTTCAGGCTCTTCGGACTTTTTGACTTCCTTTCCTTTATCGTCGTAGACATTCCGTCTGAGTTCAAGGTTCAAATCTGCCTTGGTAGCAGGAGTTGCTGAAGCAGCCCGATCAGTTGCAGGGTGTGGCTTTCCCGGGGTGGTGAAAGTATTTTGAGCTGGCTGGAATGGTTGCAGGCCTCGAGGCGTGTCTGCAGTGACTCTGAAATGGCCTGTGAATGGAGGGCCAATATTAGCCGGGCGAGTTTGTGGATCGACCTGCCACAGTCAGTATTTCATCAATCGACGTATTATGGGGGACTTTACCTGGTAGTTAATAAGACCCCATTGCTCCAGGAAAGCATGTACTCGCATGATCGCGCAGACATCTCCGGCCAAATTTCTTCGACACGCAGTTACTGTAAGATACTCAATAGGGTTCAAGCGGTAGGTGTTGATCATGAAATCGCGGTAGTCCTTGTACACAGCAGGTGTTTTGCTGCGGTTTCGGCTGTTGAAGAACTCGGGAAGCGACTTCTTCTCCAAGGCGTGAATCGTGTGCATGTCAAACCATGTGCTATAACTAGGGAGGATGATTTGATGTGTTTGCGCAACGAGGTGGGAATTCGCTGCGGCTTCGAGGCTGGATTTCGCCTGTGCTGCCTGACCGTCTGTGGCTTGTGTCGCGGCTGGAGTATCTTGAGAGTCCTCGGCGCCATCCTTTTCAGCATCAACGTCCTCGACTTTCGCATCTTCTTCCACGCCGCCCATCTCGGCATCCTCCTGCTCGCCGTCTGGATCATCTTGAGCCGGCGGTGCATTGGGGGCATCTAGAGGATTAGCCGACGTGGTACCATTGGCATCGGCTGATGGTTGAGCATCTGCAGCGTCTCGTCAGAATTGTTTCCCAGCCAAACGGTACTTGCAAATGCACAGGGGAAACGGCAAGGTGATGCGCGTACCTGGTGATTGTGTCTCTGCATCTGCGGCAGCGACTTCGACATCATTTGCGCCAAGGTCGACAGCGTCTGAAGACTCATGCTTCAACTCGGCGGGCTGTTGTGAATCGGCCATTGTGGTATCATGAAACTGATGAGATAATTAATCCACCACCTGAGCCCTCCCAGTCCTCCAGGGCTTTGCGCGAACTTCCCGGTATGTGCCAAAAGGTGCACAGAGTCTATCTCAACCACTTCAAGCGCCTGGGACTCTAAGGTGGGCTGAGCACATCACTCCGGGGGGTGCGTTTTGATGTTTTTGGCTGGAAATTGAAACCCTGTCGCGAACTGCGCCGCGAACAACACGACCATCCAAGTTTGCGGCGAACGAACTGCGGTCCACTGCCAAGCTAGTAGATCACGTGTGTCAATGGTAAATAATTAATCCGGGCCGATTCCTACGATATGTGACTCGTCTTCGCGCAAGATTGAAATAAATTTCACAAGGGAGAAATGCAGAAGCGCATGGCTGCTGGTGTTGTAGTGTTATGAATTTCTCAATCAAGAGATTGGCTGACTTTCTCCAATGCGTCCGGAAGGTGGTGTTGTGAAATTTCCTACACTTCAAGGGCACAAATACGAGAGGCACTTTCAATCATTTCCGTCGTCTCTATCATCTCCAATGTCCCTAAGATTACAAACAACGCTGAGAGCAAGCTACTTGGCTTGATCAAGATATGGATCTTGAGGACAGCTCGATAGGATCTCCTTCGATAATACCGAACGATAGGTGTTTCCAATGATATCGATTCCAACAGGCGAGGCGACGAAGGTAACGGACCGGCATCCCCATCAAATTACTCTGCACTTATCTCAGTTGTGATATTGGACCTCTTACCGATTTATATTAGCCCTCCAATATTCCGCCGAGGTTGTAAAACCACAAATGCCCGCTGCTGGAGACATGTGGACATGGGCCTCGTATAGGACACTGAGGTCTGCTTGTTCCAATGAGCCCGCCATCTACTCCTGTGAAAAGCGCCCCATTACTCCTCGACTAGAAATCTTGACCTCTTTTCGTTTCTTGCGGTGGTACTCCCTCTCAGGAAAGACCCTTGAATTTGACCGTCTTGTGGCAGCTCTCGCCGTCCTCGTGTTCATGATATCGACACCCGTTACCCTCTGTTGGATCGTCAAACAATAGCCCACCACTTCCCTCCTTGATCGCATTGATGACGTCGACGGCAAAGTCAGGGCTGATGGCAAAGCACTCCCTGTAACTGGTTGCATCTTTCTCCGAATTGGGGTCCATGATCTGTCTCGCAGCGATCTTGCTCACGAGTTTGCGGAATGGAGAATCTGGAGGGGTTTTCTCATAGATGGGCTTCATCTCTTCCGGACCGGGGACAAGTCCTGCTTCGTGACATCCTCGCCGGAATTGGTCGATGGCTTGGTTTTTGAGTTCTTGCAGCCCTATCGTGTCGCAGAGGAGATAAAGTTTCTGGCATGTGAATGCATAGTCCCACTTGACGTCTTTGGGCATCCAAGAGACATCATCAATCTTGCCCTGGTACAGCCATTTCACAAGCAGTTCAAATGCGTTGGGGTCCTCGTCTCGGAGCTCGAGTTTGCCGTCATTGATGCGCTTGTGCTCACCGTTGACTATGAAGGACTCGTCAAAGAAGCGCGCATGATGGACCAGAAGATTTTGGTGTAGAGACCAACGGCGGCGCTCAGGCCCGACGAAGACGTCCAGCAATGGGCCGGATAACAACCTTTTTCTCGCACGCATAGGTCAGCGCAATCTTATCACTCAGAGTTAGACCGGTGTCTGATATATCAACGCTTCATCATGGGTTCCCACTTACTCCGCAAACTTCTTCGCGGAGATATCTCCTATGTTCTCTCCGGGCATCTCAGCCTGCGGCGACCGGTAGCGGTACGTCGAATAAATGCGATCAAGTGTATTCGGCGGCTGGGGGGTCGCATTGGTGCGCAAGGCGGGTTTTATAGGTGTCTCTGAGACAAATGGATCGAAGCGACCGGAAACATGCCCCATGCGACATTGTTTTAGTTATTAATACTCGATGGAATGTAGCAAAGGGTATTGTAGATATCACGACTGCTGCACTGCTGAAGAACCCGAGATTTGAGAGGCGAAAAAACGCAGACGTGTCTGACAATGGAATTTTCCCCTCTTCACTGCCAATTTCCGCTCCAACCACACTAAAGTTTCGCCTAGAGACACAACGTCGAAAGGAATTAGTTTGGTCAGGCAAATAATAATGGATCGAGCGTTGTATGACGAAAGCCCTGACCACTTCCGGAGTTGAGCTGCAGGGTCCCGCCGCCTCCCGTTACGCGTTGCAGTTGGAGAAGCGCGTCGCGCGTGTGTGAACAACCAGAGTTGACACTGTTAACCATTTAATTTTCAACTCGGATCCAGACCGAAAGAAAATGCTGTTATTATCTGACGACTGTGAAATAGAAGATCTGAGCAACAAAGACAGCACTTCTAGACACACCAAAAGCCTCGACATCATCCCGTCGTCTCCGAACCAGACTGACATCGAAAGCATTTACCTCCGCAACCTCGACGACAAACCCGACTCGAATAGTTCTACACATGCAACCTTGAACAACTCTGATGGTTTTTTATGCTCTTCAGGATCCGAATATAGCCTCACATCGGACACAATGGTCTTCTCGTCGTCTCCCATACACTATGCGCCCAGTTCCTCCCCTCTCCCTGTTCCGGCGAACAAAAAGAAGCGCCGACTCTTCCAACCGTTTCCCGCTGAACAGCAATCCAAGAGGACTAAGATGGTTGGCGGCTTCATAGCGGAGGACGACGAAGATGAGGAAGAGCACAACGCTGAAAACAGGCCCAAGGATAACGACCTACTGTTGCGGACAGAAACAGGCCCAGTCATTCCTCCACCAAAAGATCTCACAAGCCTCGGAGGTACAAGTGGCATATCACAAAATACAACGAGCCTACATACTTCGCCTAGTCCAGATCTACCTCCTCTCCCTCGCCCATTACTCAGAAAGCGGCAACACGGAGGTGTAACCCTCCAAACATCTTCTGGCGCTGCATTGAATATTCCCATCAGACAAAAGGCCGAAGCTTTGTCGTACGAGAAGACCATTGCGCAACGTTCAGTCACCGCTGAAGGCCGTGCCAAAAAGGCATATTATGGCATTGAAATCCATAAGCTTATGGATGATGCTAAAACGCTCCAACAGCTTGATGAGTTTGAGAAGCAGAGGAAGAAGCAACAGCCAGCCACGACTTCGCCCACAAATGCTAAATCAACCGGCTCAAACGCAATGTTACATCAGATGTGGACGGAGAAATACCGCGCAAAGAAATTCACCGAGCTTGTGGGTGATGAGAGAACCCATCGACAGGTCCTTCGATGGCTCAAAGGGTGGGATGAAGTGGTCTTCCCGGGAAGTGCAAAATTAAAATCAATGAGAGCCTTTGACGACAATGACCCAAGCCGGCAACACCGAAAGATCCTGCTTCTGACTGGCCCACCTGGTCTCGGGAAGACCACACTGGCTCATGTCTGCGCCAGGCAAGCAGGATATGAGGTGCTCGAAATCAACGCCAGTGACGACAGAAGCCGCGACGTGGTCAAAGGCAGAATCAAGGATGCCCTTGGAACGGAGACGGTCCGTGGGATCAAAGAACAGGGCAAAGCTAGAAAAGCCGGACGCCCTGTCTGCGTCGTTGTCGATGAAGTCGATGGCGTCACTACCGGTTCTAGTGCAAGCGGTGGTGAGGGCGGATTTGTCAAAGCATTGATCGACCTTGTACAACTCGATCAGAGAAACTCCATGGGCAAGGGAAACCAGGAAGCTCCAAAGGGTAGAAAGAAGGGCGACAAATTCAGAATGCTCCGACCGTTGATCCTGGTATGCAACGACGTCTATGCACCTTCGCTTCGACCATTGCGGACGAGCTCCATCGCTGAAATCGTCCATGTTCGGAAAGCACCATTGGACAAGGTCATCGCTCGAGTCAAGTCTGTCTTCGAGAGGGAATGCATTGCTTGTGATAATGATGCCGTTCGTCGGCTTTGCGAAAATGCTTGGGGTCTGGCAATGCGAAAGCAGAGAGGGCCAGGCTCTCGGGGATCCGGAGAAGGCGATATCAGGAGCGTGCTTGTACAAGCCGAATGGATCGCACACAAACTGCGCGCCAACGAAAACAAACCCCGCCTCACGAGGCAGTGGCTCGAACCTCAGCTTGAAGAAGCTCGAACGGGACAGAAAGGCCTTGGACGAGGCGGTGTCCGAGAGGTTGTTGAGCGGATATTTCTAGAAGGAGCCGGCTTGCCTAACCTTCCAGCTACTCTAACTGCAGACGACGCGAGACTAGTTGCAGATTCGAAAAGTAATCCTGTTGGAGTCGCGAATCTTCGCAAGCGAGCAGCAATCACCGCCCTCCGGGAGATGGTTGACACCTGTGGGGAGCATGACCGGGTCATTACTGAATGCTTTGCCACGTATCCAACCCAGGTATTCCAGGACGATGTACAACTGTCTAAACCAAACGCAAGTTACGAGTGGCTTCACTTTCACGATTGCTTGTCGAGTCGAGTGTTCTCAGGACAGGAATGGGAATTGACGCCCTACCTGAACACCAGTGCCTGTGGGTTTCACCATCTCTTCGCCACTGTCGACAAAGGTACGGTGGCCTGGAATGAAGAAATGCCTGAGGAAGAGGTCAAGGATGTCCACCCGTTCAGTGGCCTGAAAGCAGACTTTGCCGCTTATGAGGCGGAAAAGCAGAATCGTACCTTGCTCACTGAGCTACAGTCGAATTTCTCAGGGTCCTTGTTGAGATTGTTCAGCTCTGTGGACGATATTGCGACAGAGCTGATACCGAATGTAGGTAAGATGTTCGCGCCAGATGTGAAGCCTGTCGTGATCGGAGGTTCTGGGAGCTCCGCCAGTGTCGCCAGCGTGCGGAAGGAGTCTGAGAAGAACTGTATCCGCAACGCAGTTCGAACCATGTTGGCTCTGGATGTTTCATTCGAAAAAGTCCGCGTGGAAATTGAGGGCGGCGGTGCTCACTCGAACGGCGGCTATGCATATCGGATGGAACCGTAAGTTGTCTTCCCATCGAATCAGTCTCTTGCTGACACAAAATTACAGACCTCTCGATACGCTACTAAGTTATCACATGGATAAGTCAAGTTCGGTCACCGCACCAGTCCGATATGCAGTTAGACAAGTGCTTGATCAAGAACTCAGGAAAGAGAGACTATTGCAAAACTCAGTTGCCCGACACGCTCGCTCGACCATATCTGGCCTTAACGGGATCACTGATGAAGAAGCCGACAAGGAAAATGAAAGCCCAGCCGACAAGGCGAGGGGAGCGTCGTCGAAGGACCTTGGAATCAAGCGCGACTTCTTTGGTCGGATCATCAACGAGAGCCGGCCTACATCAGCCGGTAAAGGCGTAAAGGAGCAGCCAGTAAAGATAGGGACTAATGAAAGTCGAGTGTGGGTTTCATTTCACGAGGGCTTCTCAAACGCCGTTCGGAAACCGATCACACTGAGGGACTTGCTGGACGGATTTTGAGCCCGAAAATGAGCACAACTGGCAGAATAAGAAAGCAACTAAGTCTTGGAAAGGGTGTTCGCGACCGTTGCGGTTGTGCATGCCATGAGATACGAGCGGCGAGATGTTGTTGTAGTCCAATGTACGGAGCTATGGGTATTGATACTTGGTAGTATCCATGCTATATTGATATTCCGTCTGCACAAAATCCAATACGTCATGTTCTTGTAAGGAGATGTGTAGGGATCAATTATTAGCACATGCATGAATTGACCGAGGCTTGTTGCGCCCCCCTCCAATGAACAGATTCGACAGCAAACACCGGACGCTTCCCGCCTCGCCGCACTCTGCATTATTACATGGAGCATGTGAACAGAGCTGGATCGTAATATCAACTCCAGGCATCTGTCTCAATCTTGGTCATGACGATGTGGTTATAGAGCCCTTTTGGTTCTCTTCACCACCTTTGCTCCCTTCTTCTATCCCGCGCCAGACTCGCCCTCCGCCGGCACAATGGCGGTTCAGTCCAAGCTGCTTCCCCCAGGCCGGAGTGTCAAGCAAATCATCTCGCAGTTGACGTCGCTCTACCTCAAAAATCGCACCAATATCTCTCGAACCGTGTACATCACCCTAGTCGTCGCACTGATCCATCGAGTCCACAATGCCATCTCAGAGCAAAAGGCCGCAGCGAGGAGGCAGGTCGAGATTCAGCGAGAGCGGACTCGCCACTCCCAGCTGTCAACAGAAGGCGGAGATGCGAAGAACGAAAGACAACAGGAGGAACATAGAAAGAAAAGAGTCGAAATCAACAGAGAGTTCTTCCGCAATCTCCTGCGGCTCCTGAAGATCGTGATCCCCGGCTGGAGAAGCAAAGAGCTGAGACTGATCGTCTCGCACAGCGTCTTTCTCGTCATCCGCACCCTGCTGTCCCTCTACGTGGCTGAACTTGATGGCAAAGTCGTATCGGCACTGGTCCGGGGCAAAGGGCGAGAGTTCGTGTTGGGTCTTGTGTGGTGGATGCTCGTGGCCGTGCCCGCAACCTTTACGAACTCGATGCTTCAGTACCATCAGACGCGCCTCGCTTTGGCCTATAGGACAAGGCTCACACAATACATCCACGAAAAGTATCTTAACAACATGACCTTTTACACGCTCTCGGCACTCGACGATCGAATAAAGAACGCTGACCAACTCATAACCGTCGACGTGTCTCGCTTCTCCAACTCCCTCGCTGAACTCTACTCGAACCTCGCCAAACCCATTCTCGACATGGTCATTTACAATTACTCCCTCTCAAAGTCTGTTGGTGGAGAAGGACTCTTCGCTATGGCCCTACTGGTACAGATATCCGCCAACGTCATGCGCGCCTTGACACCTCCGTTCGGGAAATACGTCGCCGATGAGGCGCGGCTAGAGGGGGAGTTCCGGTTCCAACATACGAGATTGATCGACTACAGCGAAGAGATTGCATTATATGCAGGCCATGAGGCTGAAAAAGACGGGCTGGACAAGGGCTATTTCACATTGATCAAACATGTGAATCGAATTCTGAGGAGACGGTTCTATCACGGCTTCATGGAAGACTTTGTCATCAAATACTTCTGGGGTGCTCTCGGCCTGCTTCTTTGCTCATTGCCCGTCTTCTTCAAGATCCCAGGGCAGAACCTCACTCCGGGAGAATCGAGAGGCGACCACACGGAATCTTTTGTCACGAACCGGCGCATGTTGCTGAGCAGTTCTGACGCTTTCGGCCGCATCATGTTCTCTTACAAGGAAATAACAGAACTCGCAGGCTATACATCTCGTGTTGCTGGGCTGCTGGATGTCATGGACGAAGTCTCGGCAGGCCGATTCGAGAAGAAACTGGTCAGCTCAGCTTCGACGGAAGAAAACGCCGCGGTGCTCAGGGGGCGAGGGACAATTGAAGAGAGCGAAAATATCGAATTCACCGACGTCCCCATCGTGAGTCCCAACGGCGATGTTCTGGTGAAGAAGTTGACCTTTGCGATCAAACCGGGGGATCACCTGTTGATTGTTGGTCCCAACGGTTGTGGCAAGTCCTCCCTTTTCAGGATCCTTGGTGGGCTTTGGCCCGTCTATGGCGGGTCTGTCAAGAAACCCAGATTCGAGGATATATTTTACATTCCTCAACGTCCGTATCTGAGTCGAGGCACACTGAGAGATCAAATCATTTACCCAGACACCCTGCGGGAATTTCGGGCCAAAAATGGGTCCGAGGAGCAACTGAGGCAGATTCTCGCGATCTTGGAGATCGAGGCCATCATCAATCGACCTAATGGGTGGGACGCCGTGGAAGAATGGCGAGATGTCTTCTCTGGAGGTCTGCAACAGCGGATTGCCATGGCTCGCCTCTTCTACCACAAGCCCAAATACGCCATCCTGGACGAATGCACTAGCTCGGTAACTTTGGAGATGGAAAGGAAGATGTACGAGACAGCCAAAGGGCTCGGCACGACACTAATGACAGTGAGTCATCGACGAAGTTTGTGGAAGTACCACAGCATGATCCTGCAATTTGATGGACAGGGCGGGTACGTGTTTTGTCCGCTGGACGCGGAGAGGAGGATCAAGCTGGAAGACGAAAAGGAGGAGCTGGAGACGTTGCTCAGGGGAGTGGACGCGTGGGAGGCACGGCTCAAGGAGTTGGAAGAGGTTTGAGGTTACGTTGTTGACCAAGCACCAACTTTGGAGTGCTCACGGATCACTGAGTTATCCTATTGAGCCATCAGCCATGGTCTGACTCGACCTCATATCCGGATGCACGCGTCCTGGACTTTCTGCCATACTCTCAGCATTGCAGCTCGGACCGCCAGAGCACATCGCTGGTGGTATCCTTGGCTCAACCGGCATGGAGACCTCAAATTCAGAGTCGAAACTACAACCCATCAGGTGCGAGAGTTAAACACCCTAAGCGAGAGTTATGTGGATGGTCTTGAAGGCACCGACGGAGACAGGGCTCTTCGTTAGATGTACGTGTTCGATGAGGACAGATTGGAGCGGTGAGGACGGCACTCCAGATCAGTCGACGAAATTCCGGCAACATTCTGCGACAGAGGCTGGTTTCCGAGCAGTGTGGATGTCTTTCAGGACTTGGTGGACAGCATGGTGGAATAGATACACAACGGGAAGAGCTTTCATAGGCGAATTGACGCACCAAGGCCTTGAGGTACAGACTGGACGACATGCGAGGCAAGGAGCAGGGGAACACAGTCCCTTTGCGCAGTCATCTATCTGTATACTAGGTTCTCATATTTCAGCATGAGAGATGATGCACCAGCTAGAAACTGATGACGGTCGAGGAACTCTCACCTGTCTGTATATCCACATAGATAGGGGTTTTTGATCGGTGATGCAAGGGCGAATACCGATAGATCATCTTCTGCACCAGGCGTGATACAACGACGTACAGTACATCGATACATACATACTGGACGTTTATAGAACCGATCTACCCCTGATATGGAGATGCATTGTCGGACAAGAGAAAGAGAGAGAGAGTGCTGTAGAGTCCTTCCTTTTCTTTTTATAGGAAGCCATCGATCCCATTACCTGGTCACCCTGCTCCATTTCGCCATCCCTTAATCCCTTTCCATCGGTGTCAACATCCCGCTGTGCTCTTACACGTCATGTTTTATATTTACTCCAAGTCCCCAGGTCCTAGGGTTCCAGGTCAGCATTCCACGACGCTCTTCCATATTTTGAATTATATATACTTGATACTCTGTCCTTGTGCGGTATCTATGCAGGTAGTAAAATCCTCATCGAGACGCACTGCGCACGCGCGCGCACTGCTTATACTCGAAATGTAATCTCACCAACTCCACAGAACCCACAAAAACTTCCTGCTTCTCTCCCGTTTTCCCCACACATTCCTTCCTTCCCTCCGGATGACAAGGACAGGTATAGACACAGGTACCAGGTACAGGTACATGTCAAGTCCAAGGATAATCTGGAAGGAGAAGGGACGGGGAAATCATCCAATGTGGGACCGGGACGATTCCTTCGCTTCCTCCAATCTTTACCTAATTTACTTGTAACTCGCTCGTACTTGGAACTCGTAAGCGAAGATTCGTGCGTGTTTTTCCGTCGAGCCGTGGTCCAGATTCGAAGCTTGAGAGGCACCGGACGCGGGGGATGGACATGTACATGTAATCACTTAACCACATCGAGCACCTTACAAGGTACACAAGAGCCCAGCTGGCCACTTGGCTTCACTCATTCCCATTCCCATTTGCAAATATGTAGATGGAACGGTATAATACCTTACCCCAGTACGAGACACTCGGTTACTTGTAAGGGGCGCTTTTATGGATGCTTTATTGACGTTGATAGCGGGTAAGGGGAGTCCTCGCTCAAGATGGTGGACTATTTACGCACATATCGGATACACTATATCCCGAGTACATACCGGTACATTCGATAGTAGGGGAGGACCAAGTACAAGATTCTTCCCTCGTACTTCCTCCTTGCTTCTACAGCTCTTTGAATGTTCGTGGGTATGGACATCAGCATCAGTCATCTTACCGGATATGCTGCACTTGTGCCACCGCTGCTGCTTGCTGCTCCGGGCGTCCTGTCGTTGTTCACGACTACCACTCGCTTTGTCAGAGATGAGGATGAGGCTGAGGCTGACATCTCCAGACCCACGAGACCCACGGATAGATGGCCTAGGTCATTGTGCGTATCGCGCGTATCCTCGTTGCTTGCTGGACTTGCCGGATCAAATCAAACCAGCTCCACTCGTGGTTCTTACGAGCGGTTGTATATAAATAAGATCAACACGCACCCTCCGGTAATCACTGTGCTCAAGCACCACGCCGCTCAAGACCAAACAAAAGATGGCGTCGTGGTCGTGGTCGTGGTTCCAGCTCCCACCAGAAATCCGCAACAGGGTATACGAGTTCGCGTATGGGACACTCGTCTTTAAACCGCTCCAGCGCCCCGACTCGACGACGCAGATGCGGATGCAGATGAACGAGTCGACTCCCTCTCCGGCATTC